GTAGGCAATGTAAAATGTTGCGGACAGCCTTACAACTATACGGGAATGTTAGATAAATCAATTTAGTTTACGTTTGGCTGCACTGAACTATTTTTACTCCCTTATTAAAACGAATGAAACAAAGGTTACAGCCTAGTTTACCCTCAACAGATAGTCAGATTATTCTCCACTCGATGAATTTTCTGTTTATTCCGTCCATTTTCTTCAATCTATTATCCGAAAGATAATTCCTGTTCAGAACAGGAATTCAGGTACGAGTTCCAGGAATTTATGCTGAATTTCCAACCAGAACAGGAATTCAGGTACAAGGTCCCGGGAATTAATCCTGAATTTTCACTCAGGACAGGAATTCGGGTACGAAATTTTCAGGAGAAAAAAATGTACGTCCACACAGGAATCGAACCTGGAACCTTCCGAGTGGTAGTCCCGCGTTCCTTCCGCTGAGCTGTATAAACCCTAAATTTTTATTGAATGTTTCCCTTTATGTGGATTATTTTTTGCACAGAGGATCAATAGTTTTACGGTTAAAGGGGTAGTCGTGTAAGAAAGTACAAATGCCGTACAGAGTGCACATACCCACCCCAATCCCTCCCTTAGCCTTTGGCTTTTCCCAGTGGAACAAAGATGTAGGTCGAGTACATATCCCTCTCCCACGAGCCATTTACACCCCCTGAAATCCACATAAGTCCCATCAGAATCCCCCCCACATTAACTACCCATTCCGTTATTCTATTCCCCATTAAAATACCGTCTTTCCATCTGGCAACCCTCAAAAATCTCATCCCCGTGAAATTTCATATCCACGGAGCAATCCTACAATCGTTGCTCCAGGGTAAACAGTTTACGGAGGAATCGAATCGCCTCAGTTGCCGGCGGGTGATGGGAGATTATATTTCCAAAAAATTATTGCCCAGAAAAAAAAAAGTCGAATCAACCATCAGTTAAAAAAAAAATGCCATCTAAAAATAATTTCCTCCCAAAAATCCTAGATCACCCCATTGGGGTGGGTATTCAATATCAATATTCAATTTCCAAATTTTCCCGTCCCATATTTTAATGTGGAGTTCCAACGCAATTAAAACTTCTGCTAATTATAATTTTCCCGGGAAAATTTCGTCATATGGCACAATTACTGGGTCAGAGGAAATTTGATGGCGAATTTCTCTCAGCGTGTCAAATATACAAAGAAAGAAAAAGCCGATGGGGAATTTCACGGGAAATTCAATCCATCCCAGTAGTTTCAACCCCCGACACTCACCGTTCAAACAGTTTATGGCTCGTTAATAATTTATCAAAGCCAAACCCCATTTACCCTTGCGTGACAGTCAATCAAACAATCGTCGGGTTATATTTCCTTGTCCCTCAACGTCCATCAACCTCTTGACTCCTCGGATCGAATGGAAAATCATGCGCAATGGTAATAGGTCACCGATTTATTAATAAATAAATGCAATAAGTCCACTTGCATTCTTACTTTATTTCTTTCAACAGTTGTCCGTCACTTTCCATCCTTGTCACGCTTATACTTTTTATTCTTTGTGTGTCAGGTGTTTTCCTCTTTGTTTCTGCAAATCTAGGGCCCGTCCCCTCGGTCTGACAAACAGCAAAAACATCCTTGAAACTATGATCCCCCGGTTCTTTGTTCTCCTATTTTAAAATATTTTTTACCCGCTGCATTCTCCTCTTCCCAGGCACCGCCTTTGATAATTTCAGGCGAAATCTCTCTAGACTTTTAGTAATCGCATGGCAAATCGCCTATATATACTATATATCTATATACCACGAGATTTTTGCAATGTTTAATACCTCGTGACTGTCTCGACTCTAATAATTATCAATAAAATCAAAATACTCCAATTGTTTATTTATTTCGATCTCCAAAATCCAAGAGATCCGATATAATAATAATTACTGATGATATAGTGATATATTCATCTTCACCTCATCTCCATCGTCGGCTAGAGCTGTTGTTTTTTTTTCTTCTTTCTTTTTTCATCCGAGGTGATCAAAATTAACATGCACATCTGCCACGTTTTGGGTCCTCGGAGGGGAATAAAAAATCGTAGGGAAAAGCTGTCGTTTGCTCGAGGTCCCCCTCGTTATGACGCCAATCGATATTGGCCCAATTTGTCGAAGAGCTTTGAGGGGCAGGAAGCATCATCAGCGTGCACTCACCGCGTCGCCAAATGCCTCGATGATTCATTATGTAGCTAGTCCATCAACTGGAGATGTTCTCCAAGCATTCGACAATTCTCTGTCCATAGTTTACCCTCTGTAACAGCCATCCACTCAAGCGCCCTGAATAACAAAAAATCATTGTTAATTAAATTGATATTATCTACATTCAATATTATAAATATTAATATACCACACCAGTAGTACAGCAATTTGTCCAAATATTTTTGCATAATAATAATATAAATATAATCAGATATATTCAAAATATAATATATAATATCAAAATAGAATATATAATATATATATTTTTGCAATATATTTTGAGTATAACGTGAGGAGATTTTTCTGTCGATTTTATTTTTATTTTTTAATCAATTGGGGATTCACGTGAATTGATTTTTTTTTTTTGTTTGTAATGGGATAATTGAATTTTCAGGAAGTAGCACATACCTGGGGACATGAAACGGATTCTCACGTATCAGAATTTGATGGAATCGGAAATATGCCTGGATCGCCAATAGTCCCCGTGCAATCAACAATTTCCGGTTTACCCCATGAAACTCAATTTTTCATGCCACTCTGCCATCAATCAATTCCATTCAATTCTTAATTAAAGCCGTCACCTGTGCGGAGATGTCTTCCCGATGACCCGGAGGAATAATAAAAATTCTGATAGATTCATTAAGTTTAAAAAATATCGTATTAATCTGAAATCATAATGAACGTTTAAATTTATTGATATTATATTTAATTAATAAATCAATTAAATATTAATTTATTAAATATTGTGACAATTGGAATGGACGCATGTGAGGGACATATAATAGTTATTTTATCCAGTGCATTTTATTTATTTTTAGGCATAACATTTATTTAGAATTATATTTTTTGAATTTTCGATGCGATGTGAAATTAATTATTATATGTGATAATAATTTTGATATTGATTTATTTTCGAGTTGAACTCCAGGAAATTTAAGTTACCCTCCGAAAAAGTGGCACTTTCCGAACTCCCGTGGGAATGGGAATTCCCCTTTTCTGAAATTGTAATTCGGCTGGAACGACGGAGATCCCAACTTTCTATTACTCATTCGACCTCATCCCTAACAAGAATCGATATTTTCCGACTACTGCGATTTAGTCATGCGGAAACCATTGAATCCAAGGAATGGAAGTTTACACCGGTAGAAGAGGGATTCGTCAAGCCCAGTGTATATTTTACGCCTGAATCAATACGATATTGTGTACGGGGTGTCACACCAGGATTGCGGGATGGTACCGTAAGACGATCTAGCCCCAAGTGCTGTCTCGAAGTTCTAGTGAATTATTGACGGATCCGAGGCGATCGTTTTTCCGTCACTCGAATTATTCGAGGATCCAGTGAATATTGACAAGCGCGGGAATTATTCATTTTTTAAAAATCCTTTTAGGAGGAAAAATTCACCATTCAGGAATTCATATTTCGGAATTAATATTTCTAAAGCAGCAATCAATTTTTTTTAAGGCGGAATTCATATTCTGAATTCGAGAATTCATATTCATGTTTAAGGAATTCATATTCTCGCTTAAGGAATTCATATTTTAAGAATGGCTTTCAATAGGGAGGAATTAATAAAAATAAAGATTCTGTAAATTCATGCCGTAACATTTTGATGTCTCGTAAAGTATTCCCGACGCACCGCCGTGGCCTAGGCTTTACCGCGGAGACTCTAAGGTCACGTCGATGAGATAGAAAGGGATTTAACCAGCGAAAAGCCGAGGCTCTGCCATTCTTAGCCAGATGCACTTGGTTCTGTGCACTCAGCTCTTTGAGTGGTTTGTCCCTCTTTCCTCTAGGCCCTACTCTACATATCACAGCAACGGGCTAATTGGATGAGTCAAATTATTTTCAGAACAATGATACCTCTCGTTGCAATTTCCATCCTGACAAAGGCCTTGTTTGAATATCCGTGTGCTTAATTTCTTTCAGAGGGCATAACGACACTCGAGATTATACACGATATCGACTCTGAGGACAAACAATATTTCTAGGACAAATTTTTCAACGCGTTAATTCAAGGTCACAAATATTGAAGGGCATTTTAAGGTCAAGGTGACTTTGAAGGATTTGATTTAGAATTTCGAGACCTTGAATTTCCAGTCGTTTATTTTTCACCGATTATTTTTCATGAACTCTTGATTTTCCAAGAATCATTCATAACCGTGAAAGAAGGACGTAAGTGCGTCCATTTAGCAGCGTCTACCCGGATTTTGAAATGGCCACATGAAATGTGAGCCATCTTAGGTCTAAATCTGTGGGGATTCGCCCGGAAAATCGTAATCATTTCTCGGCTTGATATCGGTGAAAGGGAACTCTATTATCGGAGAGGAAATGTTATATCCCTTCGTCTTTATGACACGAGCGAGTCGAGCCTTCTCTAGCCTCTGGCAAGCTCGCCGCAACGTAACAGCCCTATCCACTGGGAATATTTCAAAGGAATACCACAAACCCTAGACCCCCTCTACTTGTTTCTATACACTGTCCAACTTTATATCGATATATTTTGGCTTGTACTTACCACCAGATGTTTCACGATGATATATAAATGTGACGCGACTATTCGGATGTGCATGATATTATGGAGTAAAAAGTTATCCTGAAAAAAAAAATAATAAATATTAATTTGTAATAAATTTTTTTTTATAATCAGTCAATTGAGATCCATTTTTCAAAATTTTTTCAGTTGATTCAGAACAACTTTTTTTTCTTCCGTGGCATTTGCTTGCGAATGGTCATTGCGGTGATGAAATTTTCTTCCCTCTTTTTTTATTGTTACTTCCAGATGCGAGCATTGACCAATTTTGAGATATTACGAGACATGAGTCATAAAGGCCGGAAGAGCAGAACCAGCTGACACTCGAGTGGTGAGCACTCAATATTCCCAGATGCATAGGACATACGTAATAATATCTCCTATATTATGAATAAATCATAGATGTCCAATTTTATCTTCCGAATATTTTTATTTTTCGCCTATTTTTTTATTAACGCTCGCTGGGAAAATAAATTCGAGATATATATTTTTTATAATACAATAATGGATCAATTCAATGGGATAAAGTGAAGAGAGGTCTTCGAATTGAGAATATGGATTCTCGAGGTGGAATTCATATTCTTGATTCAGGAATTCATATTTCCATTTAGGAAATCATATTTTATCATTTTCTCCGGGAATTCAAATCGTAGCCTTCATTCGAGAATTCATATTTTTCAACAAGAAATTCATATTCCTGATTCGGGAATTCATATTCTTCATTCGAGAATTCATATTCTCGATGCAGAAATTCATATTTTTAAATAAAAAATAAGAAAATCATATTCTTGATTCGGGAATTCATATTCTTGATTCGGGAATTCATATTCTTCATTCAAGAATTCATATTCTCGATGCAGAAATTCATATTTTTAAATAAAAAAAAATAAAATAATATTCTTGATCCGATAATTCATATTCCTGATTCGAGAATTCATATTCTCATTTAGGAATTCATATTCTTGATTGGCAATTATTAGAATAATCCCGGATGAAATAAATATGTTTTTCCGAGTGAAAGTGGCTTTTCATACCGGCGCTGTCAATTCTGTCATCTGAAATTCCCATTTGTAAATAATCCAGCCATAATGACGTCGGAGCCACTGTCGGATGGTGGCAGTCCGGCGTTGCTTCATCGTCCTCTACTCACCCCGCATTTCGTCCTACGCTCAGCAACTCTTGAGCGCGACTCTGAGACTCACAACACCCGGAAATCCGCTACTGGTGTTACATCGTACTACGCGACTACCTCCGTGCGTTTTCAAACATTCGACATGGTGGATCAAAAGTCACTCAGGTATTATTCAACTAGCCGAGGACAACGACAATCGTCCAATTAAAATGAAAAATTCAATAGAAAAAATTCAACCCCTTTTTCACACAGGGAAAAATATAATTATAATGATTATTTCATTTTTCATTATCTCGCTGGAATCGAAACAGTATCATTTTATCTATTTTATCAAGCCATTATTTTTTTTAACAATTTCCACTATTTCAATTGCATTTTTAGTCGACAAAAAAAAATGCATGACAGATATAAAAATCAGCTGATGCATCACCAGGTGCAGTCAGTGGTAACAAATATGCAAATCTCAATTTCAAAATGTTATCTTTCTCCTCAAATGCATTCAATCGTTGAAACAGTACCACTTGTACCATTTCTCTCATTAAAAATCGATGACAAATTTTTGTTTCAGTTTTATAATGCTTTAATTAAAATCGGTTTTAATTGGAATTATTTCCTTGAATGGACCAGTGTGGCCATTTGAAACTCACTGAAAGGGGGTGGTGAGGGGGTGGCTGAGGGGGGGAACGGCAAGGGGGGGTGGAGGGGATCGATAGGGGTTTGGCTCGTTCGCAAATCGTGATCTCTCACCAATGAACAACCAAAAGTATTTTTTAAATTTCAACCAAAAAATCGCTCCCTCTCAAAAATTGAATTTCCACACCAGAAAAAAATTTTCACCTTTTTATTTATCCCATGTAGAAATTTATCGCATAATAAATCCTATAATAAATTTAATAAAAATTCGGCCTAGTGGACAAATGGATATCGCAATCGCCTTTCAATTTCCCAGTCAAAATGCGCCCTGATATTTTTTTATATTGAAATGTTTATTTAAAAAAAAAATACTGGAAACATGGAATAGGTACATCGGTGACAGCGTTGACGACGCTGCCGCCGGGGGCTGTGTCCAAGGAGGTGGTGGTGCACGGCTGACAGCTCCGAGAATGTCATTATTGGGACGACCGATTAACTACAGGGCGACACGCAGGGACGCCCGATACCGGAGGCTACAAACAAACTTCTATAATTTTCTTGAACGTCCCAGGGGGATCTACGCTATCACCTACCACATGATCGTGTAAGTTATCCTGACTACCCCATCATGCACAGAAAATATAAATAATATCCAACAAATCAGATGATACGACGATGACGTAAAGATCACCCCATCAATTACCTGTTGAATTAATTGTTTATTATAATTAATTTTCAATTTAATGAAGTAATGATTTAGTAATTGAGTTAAGAGAACAACAACTCAACAAGTTGACTCATAATTGCGGCGGTTTATTAATTATGAAATAAAATAATGGGTCTTGACAGAAAAAATGATGTGTCGATCATTAATGTTTTTTAAAAAAATTATTGCTTGACTCGATGATGAAAGAATGATCAACACCTTTTATTGGAGTCTCTCAGACCGTCAAAATAATCCATCAGCAATCTGCCCTTGTGGAAATGAATGAAATTAAACGACCCATGGAATATAAAAACCGCGCATAAAATCTGATGAACCCAACAACTCGAGATAAGCAAGAACGTGATGAATAAAAACTTTATGGTCCCACGAGTTAATGCTATTGATTTTATTTGCAGATTTTGTATGGTATTCATGTGCCTGGTATTATCAGTCTTCAGTACAATAGACGAGTACGAAAAAGAAGCTGGTATGTGGCTTTATTATATGGAGCTCGTCGTTGTAATTTGGTTCGGCATGGAATTCTGTCTGAGGTACATACCAAACTCAATTATCTATTCTCAATACATCAATTTTTCACTGTTAACGTCACGGTTTCTGGAATACTGGAGATTTCATTTGAATTCTCGTCTCGAAATTTTTTGAGACCCTCATAAACCTCAGAAATAATTTCCCAGTATGAAAAATTCCAATTCCCCGGATTCCAATATTTCATGGCATCTTAGAAAATTCTGGGTCAGACGGTGGAGATGTAATAAGGATAGGATAAATAAATCATAAATATTTTAATACCTAGAATAAATAAAAAAATGCCTTCTTCATGGGAATAATTATATAATAAATTATTGTTAATAGGTAGCCTTTTTGGTAATTATCATTTTGATGTTTGTCTTGTCATGTGATACTAGATTGTGGTCATCTGGATGCCGGTCTCGTTACCAGACTGCCATTGGTCGTCTGAAATTCCTCCGTAGGCCATTTTGCATCATAGGTAATGCTGGAAAATCCCTTTAAGTCCCAACAAATCCTCACGTAATTATCATTTCAGACATGATAACTATTCTCGCTAGTGTAGTGGTGCTAGCGATGCGAAGTAGTGGCCAAGTATTTGCGGCTAGTGCACTCCGGGGCCTGAGGTTCTTCCAGATCCTGCGAATGGTCCGGATGGATCGTCGTGGTGGTACCTGGAAATTGCTAGGAAGTGTCGTGTATGCACATCGTCAAGTGAGTCTGAAAGAAATATTTGCACAATACCGTAGCACCCGAGACTTCATCTCCACCGAGGGAAAATTTTGATAAAAAATATATTCCTCAGGAATATTTAAATAATTCGTATTTTCGTTTAACTATTTTGCAAATGTAAATCATTGAATTACCGAATAATTCGAATACTCTCCCAGGAACTCATTACAACCCTCTACATCGGCTTCCTCGGTCTAATATTCGCAAGCTTCTTGGTTTATCTCGCCGAGAGAGACGATGAGCATTTCAACAACTACGCGAAGGCCCTTTGGTGGGGAGTGGTAAGAATCCATATTTCCATCTAAAAAAGAATTCGATATAAAAACCTAAATTAATAAATTCCATTGAACTGCCGAATACCGAATTAATTGGAAAATCTATCGAACTCCGATATTGTGAATTCATTAAAAATTCTCCAATACATAGCGCATTCTCGCTTCATTTTTTTTATCACTCATATTTTTTATTTGAAATATCAGCGCGCGGGATAGAATTACTTGGCAGAAATGATTTATCTAAATTTCAAAAGCTCTCTCAAGATTTTTAACTTTCTAATATCTCTCATCATTCCTGAATCAACAGTTCAATCGAATAAATAATCAGAGAGTGCCTTTGGCATATATCCAGCCTCAGCATGTTGAAAAATTTTATAAATAATTCCCAATAATTGATCCCTCCTCCAGATTACGCTGTGCACCGTCGGTTATGGGGATGCTGTACCAAAAACTTGGCAAGGAAAAATAATCGCCTCTTTCTGCGCACTCCTGGGGATATCCTTCTTCGCATTACCCGCGGTACGTCAGCCAGATCGATTTAATTATTTAAATTCTCGGTTATCAATTGTGTTTTAAATTATTTCATTGATTGGGGGAATTTTAATGGTGACTCCAGGGAATTCTCGGCTCGGGATTTGCCTTGAAAGTTCAGCAGCAGCAGAGGCAGAAACACATGATTAGAAGACGACAGCCTGCTGCGACGTTGATTCAAGCACTATGGAGATGTTATGCTGCTGATGAACACAGTATGAGCATTGCCACTTGGAAAATTCATCAAGTTCCACTTTCTAGTCCACCTAGGTATTAATCTCAACTAGCAATTACTGCATGTAAAATATTTGCGGAACAATTATTTCTGGTGAACTGTAAGAAATCGATTTTTATTCTTTTCTGGTGGAATTTACTGTCATCGTAATGTTAATTAAATAATTCCCCACCGAAAATCTTTGCATAAAACAATTCCAACAAATGGAAATAACATGGAGAGAACAAGGAATTTGTGGTAACACGTGATTTATTCGTTTTGTCATAATGACTTAGATAAAGTGATAAAGCGAAAGAGACTGTAAAATAGTTTGCATGAAAGCCCCATAATTCAGGAAATAAGGGAGCGTTGGAGCGTTTGTGTTTATTTGCCAAGTCAAGTCTTAAAATCCTTGACCGAGAGTGAAATGAGTTTACTAGAGCTCATTCCATAGTACATCCGCTAAACAAAAAAATCCATTAATTATTCAGAATCTCAAGTTGTTATCCAGCTATTTAACTCAAACTTTCATAGTTGTTATCGACCACTTTTTACACTTGGGGTGTGGGAACTCGAATCTGCTATTCAAATTTTATCATAATAACGTAAAACTCCCATAGAATAAATTATAAAAAAATTATATTCTCGATAAAAAATGTGTAATAATGTATCATATTGTAAACTATTTATAATTGTATTGTTATATAATTTATTTTTTTAATTATTCTTTCAGTAGTCGTCTGTCTTCCAGTTTCAAGCACAACGCATCATTCGTCAGTCGTTTGCCGACGATCCGCCGACACAAAAGTACATCCCTTCACAGTCCAGGTGGGCACAAGCTGTCACACAATTACCAAAGACCACCCCCACGTGTTTTTACTGATCTCATATCATCAGCTGAGAATTTAGGTCAGTTCAATTACTATCACATTTTTTATTTCACTTATCCGTTTAATGACGAAAGTTTCACCGCTGACATGTCGACGTCACACGAGTGGAAATTATTTCACTTGTTAATTTCTCGTTGAGAAATTCGGCATTTTGAATTCCAGAGAAGTTCCGGTGGCTTTTATTCGAGTCATTATTGCAGACGTCATTCATTTCAATTGAATTAATTCGGTGCAGAATTTTTATTCAGTCATTTGTCGACGGGTCAGGGGTAGATATTCAGGGGAATTATTCATTTTTTCGTTGAAGGTCTTTTAATGTCGACAGGAGTTGGTAATCATCATCATGGGATTTGCAATGATCCCGAGAGCCAATTAACATCAAAAAATTTAAATGCCAGTTACTCCGAGGACTCGGTAGCTGAAACGGCTTTTTCCAAGAAAAATTCAGACGGTATGTAGATTATAAATAATTGAAATTAGCCCGTTATTTCATTAAACCAATGGGATGAAAACTATTGACCGGACGTGGACAGACGAGGAAGAGGAGCCGTCGAGGTGCGTTCATCTGACGAAGAAACACAAGACAGCAATTCGGGCGATCCGAAAGGTGAGCAATTTATTATTTCTAAATCCAATTATAAAAAACCCCTCAACTCCCCTTTTACAAAAAAAAAGAAAAGAATGTAACAATTTCTACAAATTATTCTTTCATCTCCAAATTTTCCATCAACTACTACAATTTCATGTGAATAATAATTATTGGCTGAAGTCTTTTTTCTTATTGCAAATAACTTAATAAAAATTATTGATCCGTATTATTAATATTTTTATCACGTTCAAAATTAACTATTGCAAATTATTAAAAATGATTTACATTCCCTCTTTAAAAGACAATAAACAAAATCCGGATAAACATTGCTATTGGTTAATAATAAATCATCGGCGCGTCGTGGCAAAAATCTGAGAAAAAAAAATGGTGTGGAAAAAATAAAAAAAATTCACACACTGTAATTCCGAGTGGTGAGCACTCGAGATTTCTAATAATGACGTAGGTATTTGCAGGATTTAAAGAAATGGCATGGAGCCAGAGAAAAAGGTAGAACTCAGCAGGAAGAGCTCTAGTGTTGATTAAGATTTGACAGATGAAAAAAATCGACATAAAAATAAATAACAATCAAGAGATTCCCCACGGAAAATATATATATACCAATAATTATACATGATATATACATGCGAATAATTAATTACAACAATTATTTATAATTACACTCGCCCCGACGACTCAATAAATTTTCACTTAAAATTAATTCAGTGTAAAAATATCATTATATTAATTACAATTCGCATATATATCATTTTCAATATATTATATATTATATATTTGGGATATTTGGTGATGCTGAGAGCGAACGAATGGGTTTTATATTTTTTTATATAATTTTCAATTGAGCGCTTTAATCAGTCCCTCGGATATTTCAATGGAGTACTCAAAGTAGTTGTAATTGTGTCCGGTATCAGATGAAGTACTTCGTGGCAAGGCGCAAGTTCAAAGAGGCTCTGAAGCCATATGACGTTAAAGATGTGATTGAGCAGTACAGCGCAGGACATGTTGATCTCATCAGCCGTGTCAAAAGTATCCAAAATAGGTACCACTGGGTGGAGATGGTGTTCTATTCGTTCGCTGTTGGTAGTCTGTAGTTAAATATCAATTCACTCTACTGCACCCAGTGAATTATTATTTTTATCAGAGTGTACACTGTCTTTTCATTATTTACTACCATTTTTTTAAATCTTTCAAGGACTAGGGTAACACGATCTGTCCATTAACAATTATTTTTTTTTATTCAATAATTGCTTTTGGCAAAATCGAATGGTAGGGGATTTATTTAATTAATTATAATAATCGCTGGTATTATTGATGTTAGGTGTGTTACCCTAATTCGATTATTCAATTCTCTTCACTTGCTCTTTCTTCATTTTTCTATTATTAGGATTTTTTTGGTACTCCGGGGGAAATATTTATTATTCTAGAGGCATTCATCCTTTGATCCACCGGCTCAATCCACTCGTTTTATTTATTTATTTACACTGGTTCGGAATTATTGGAATTTATGGTACTATCCGGTGATTATTTCCGCAATTCCATCCCGAAATTAATCGGAAATCAATGGGAAATGAATTCCGGTCGCTGGAATTCGGAATTCGGAATTTTCGGGTTCAAAATTCCGGCGATAGATTCCCAGAATTTTTTATTAAAATTGAATTGAATTGAATTTTTATTGAAAATTCGTAGGAATATTCAATTTTATTTTTTAAGGAATTGTCATGTCTCGTTTTAATATTGTGTAGAAAAAATGCGAGTCCATTTTACGGGTTTTGTCTTAATAAAATTTAACGAGAGTATTTACGACGCCGTACGACGTGACACATTAATTCATTTATCGAAATATGATACCCAGGCTTGTTCCGTTGATCAGTAAAAATAAAAAAGATTTCTGTATTGGGAAAATGTGTCGTTGTGCGGATGTAAAGTTTTTGAGTAACTTTGAAATGGCTTGCCCGCTCCGGCAATTAATCCGCAGAAATTCAATTAATAATTCTAATAACGGAATAATCCACGGAGAGAGAAATTCCCAAGGAGATGACAGAAAGGGAAATAAATCCGTCATTTTTTCCATTATTGAATATGACAGATTGATGGAATATTTCTCTCCGTGTGGATGAGAGGAAATACGCGTGTGAGAATTGGAATCGGGAGCAATTGATACTCAAATTCATGAAAATTAGTAACAAAAAAATGGAACACGACATGTGCAGCTCAAGTACTTCGTGGCCCGCAAGAAGTTCAGAGAAGCTCTGAAACCTTACGACGTCAAGGACGTGATCGAACAGTACAGCTCTGGGCACGCGGATCTTCTGAATCGCGTGCGAAATCTACAATTCAGGTACCTTCAATACGAAAGTACCGTCTATGTTACATGAATATGTATTAAACACGAGAGATTGTCGATGGATAAATTCAGTCTATTTACCGATGGAAATTACAATCGCGAGGGGTTGAATTTCAATTACTGATGATTTTTTTCACAGGTTTCAGTCAATTTTTAAATAGTACGGGTATTCCCGGAATTTTTTTTTCCGAATGGCAATTTTTTTTTCCGAATGGCAATTTTTTTTTCCGAATGGCAATTTTTTTTTTTTTGATAAAATTTTTTCAATTTCACATGGAATTTTTTTTTATTGGGAAAAAAGCAGAGTGATTCCACGGGAATTTTAGTGGAATTTTACGGAGGGAATTGTATGGGAATCCCCGGAATTTTTCTTTCCGAATGGGAATTTTTTTCATTGGCAGAATTTTTGAAATTTGAGATTGAATTTTTTTACTGGTTTTCCTGGAAAAAATTCACGGTGATTCCATGGGAATTCTAGGGGAATTTCACTGAAGGAAATAGTACGGGGATTCCCAGAATTTTAAATTCAGATTCGACTGAATTATTTAAATCCATTCGTCTGTAAATTTTTACTGGAATTCCCAAAAATTGAGGAATTCGACACATGGCTTTGATAAAATTTCAAATTATTGATAGCAAATGATTTTGAAATTTTAATAGAAAAAAAAGTTCCAAAAAAAAATTCCACGAGTCCTTCCCTCAGGGAATAAATCAGAATGTGGATATCGATTAAGATACCGAGAGGTAGTTCGAACACATGATTAAGTGGATAATTAAATGGAATAAATGGACTGATTTAGGGATTTTTTAGTGAGAAATTGGGTATTATATGGTGAGAAAGCTTGGGCGCAGCTACAAGGCAGCATCTCCGTCTGTTCTACCCAACCTGACCTTTTTCTTCTGCTTATATTGGTTGGCGTTCAACGGGTACCATTTCGCCTTTTCAACCCAACCCACTCCAGCTTTTGAGATCTCCTTTCATTTTATATTATCCGGTTACTCAATCCCATTGTCCTTACTTCCGTCATTATTCTTAGTCAGAGTTTCCAAATGCCCATTCAGTACTGACAATTGTCATTCAGGTTTCACTTGTGAAATTATCTTATAGAATTTCCTGCAGGAAATCCTAGAAAAAATATATTTTAATCATTGACATTTCCAGTGGAAAATCCTGTGAGATAAAATCAATTGATTCAATTTTCCGGAAGGAATTCCTCGGAGAAATCGAGGAATTCACATTTTCCGGTTGGAAATCATGGAATCATTCCTGGAATTCAGGAATTATTTTTCCTGATTTCCCGTGGGAAATCCTCCGGACAATTCCGGCATTCACTGTAGGATTTTTTTTGCACATTTCGTAGGTTTTCTTCTGAAATTTCCTCCGGGAAATCCTATCAATCTCTTCTTACTTCCGAATTCTCGAGAATGCAGTGAATGTACTCTTTTCAATCGTCAACACCCCTAATTAATTAATTAGCTCTAATTTGAATGAACTTTTGCATGATCCCTCCAATCCCTCCCCATTTTCCCAATTTTCCATTTCCCTTTTCCTTCATTACCAATCCTAAATAAAAATTCTCTCTCAATTATCACTGAATTAGAATTTCCACATAATCCACCAAAGATACAATAAACAATAATCATATAAATATTCCATATAAAAATCCATCCAAAAATTAAAAATCTAAAAACACTTTGAGAGATTATTGAACGTGTCCATGATCTCCAAAAAAATTCCTGCAGTCCCATGCCTTTAATATTTTCCACAATTATTATTTTCCATTCTCTTTCAATTTGCATGCATAATTACACAGTATTATTTCCTCCCAATGCTTGTGCTTCGCTAATGGCAAACCCATACCCTGGCTTGCAAATAGAAAAATAATAATATTAAAAAATTGAAAAGAAACATTTTTTTTTTGCATAGATTAGATCAAATCCTGGGGAGACAAGGGTCGAAAGCCCGCGACGTTTACGTTTCGAAGATCAGTCTGGCATCCAGAGTAGTAAAAGTTGAGAGACAGGTAAAATATATTTATTTTATTATGACTGATGATGGAAGTTGGAAAATCGAATGTTTCAGGTCGACGATATCGAGAGTAAATTAGATCAATTAATTGAATTGTATATGGAGGATCGGAAGAGGCTCTTGTCTTTGCCGATGCCTGAGTCCTGCAAGGTGCCTCGTGCTTCCATCGAGGAAACAACAATTACCACTGTGTTGAAACCAATACTCGTGGATAAACAATTGTCTGAGCCTAGTTCACCGACCGCCAAGGCACAGCGGGAAATAAAACCCCAGAAACCGAGACTCATTCATCGGGGATATTCGGATTTGGGAAGCAGAGTGAAAAAACGGGTTACTCTCAGGTGAGATTACACGTGAATAAATTGTCGAGGCGTTTAAAGAGTAATTGTCTCATTGTCTGTTTTCAATTTCAATTTTGATTTTGAATTTGAATTTTTATTTTCATTTTAAAGTTGAAATTCGACTTCGATGGGAATTTCAA